ATTTTAGCCATTCTGACTGGTGTGAGGTATCTCATTGAGGTTTTGATTTGGAAGAAATACATACTTTTTAAATTTATTTTTCTATTGAAGTATCGTGACATTGGGATTTTTTGAGATAAAATTTATCTTACATAAAATTTAAAATTTGAATTATTTTAAAGTGCACAGTTTGGGGGGCCCAGGTAGCTCAGTTGGTTAAGCATCTGCCTTTGTCTCAGGTCATGATCCTGGGGGGTCCTGGGATCAAGCCCCACCGTGGACTCTGTTCAGCAGGGAGCCTGCTTCTCCCTCTTCCTCTGCCTGCCGCTCCACCTGCTTGTGCTGTCTCTCTCTCTCTCTCTCAAATGAATAAATAAAAATCTTTAATAAAAAAATAAAAATTAAAGTGTACAGTTTAGTGAATTTTAGTATGTTCACAGTGTTGTGCAACAAGCAGCACTAATTCCAGGACATTTCTATCACTCCCCCAAAAAAACCCTTACCCCCCAATTGTCCCCTCCTCCCATCCCTTAGCAGCCACTAATCCTTTCTGTCACTATGGATTTACATTCTCTGAACCTTTCAGAGAAGTGGAATCATATAATATGTGACCTTTTGTGACTGGCCTTTTTCACTCAACATCAGGGTTTCAAAGTCCATCCATGTTGCAGCACATATCAGGGATTGATTCTTTTCATTATTTAGTTAAGTCCTCCTTTCATGCTGTTGGGAGTCTTCAAAAGCTGGGTAATTCTTAAATTGGCCATATTGTAAATGAAGGTGTAAACTGAGGAGTTTTGGTATCTAGAGTGTAGTTTCAGTTCATGTGAGAATTTCTGCTCACCTGGCAGGGAGAGCCAGTGCCCTGGTATCTGTGCATTACCTGGGGCAATGTACTTCCCTGGCCCAGGTGTCCACCCTGGGACCTTGCTTACCACAATTCCCCTTGTGGAGAGCTGCACTTGGGTACTAGCCTCGGTGAAGCATTTGAGGAATATATCTCCAACAGCAGATGAAGGGACACCAACCCAGTTATTCCAGCATCCTTTAATTAATTTTCTGACTGATACAACCTCTTCTCCCAGCCTTTTTTTTCCTTAGATTTAGACATTGTTCTGGGGATACTTCTGATAACACTCATGATTTGCAGGCAGGGAGTGAGGTCCTCTCGTCTACCTATGTGGGTTATAGATTGTCCACCTGCCACTGTGTTATCATCTGCTTTATATCATCTAAAACTAATGTTTTGAGCTGCTGGTAGCACCCCTCTTGGTTTCCCAGCACTGAAATTGATTTATTTTTATTTTGTGTTTCTTTTGACATTTTGGTAGGATTTGGGGAAGAAGGAAAATATCCTTGTAATTGACCTTTTCTCTACCCTTATCTAGATCAGGACAGTCCAATCCAACCTTTTATCTTCGGAAGGGCTTTCAAGCATATGTACTCAGAAAAAAACCACCTGGTTCACTTCTTCCTAAAGCACATCAGGTATGGTATACAAACGCAATAATTCTTTGTTGACAAATAAATGCTTTTTATATACAGAAAAATAATTTAAATTGCTTTTAAAAGTCATCTCATGATTATTAAATAATAATGTATTTTATTTCTTAGATAAAAATTTCACTTGAATTGTATCCCTTGTTGTTTTTAAAAAGGACTTGAGGTTAAAATCTGAGGCTGTCTTTAGTTCATTAATCTTTTTTTTTAAAGATTTTATTTTTTTTTAATTTTTTTATTTGACAGAGAGAGACATAGCAAGAGAGGAAACACAAGCAGGGGGAGTGGGAGAGAGAGAAGCAGGCCTCTGGCGGAGCAGGGAACCTGATGCGGGGCTCGATCCCAGGACCCTGGGATCATGACCTGAGCCGAAGCAGATGTTTAACGACTGAGCTACTCAGGCGTGCCTAGCTCATTAATCTTGAGCAATAACCAGTCTTCATGTGGATTTGATTCTTTCCTTACAATTGGCTAGATATGCAGTCATATAGTGAATATTTTCAGTGCTGCTCATTTATAGATGTTTGTACTTTGGTTAAATATTTTAATTGTGTTTTAAAAATTATATCTTATAAAAAAAATTATATCTTATAACAATATCTACTCACTGAAGTATCTTTTTTTTCACTGAATTATCTTAATATATTTGCTCTGACAAACCCACTGATCTTTTGCTAATAAGAAATATTTGAATAATCATTTTATAGTATTCTCTAAATATTAGGCTTTGTGAGAATTTAAAAAGATTTGTTAAAAATTGACTCTGTTTTGGGCGCCTGAGTGGCTCAGTTGGTTGAGCGACTGCCTTCGACTCAGGTCATGATCCTGGAGTCCCAGGATCGAGTCCCGCGTCAGGCTCCCTGCTCGGCAGGGAGTCTGCTTCTCCCTCTGACCCTCCTCCCTCTCATGCTCTCTGTATCTCATTCTCTCTGTCTCA